GCTTTCGAGCCTTGCCCTCTGGTAGCCTCGGGAGCTCGGCGATGAGCAGCACGGCGGCCACAAATGCCAGCATGTCTGTCGCCGTCCGCTCGTCCTTGCGGAGCAGCCGTGCGAGATCGTGGCCACCCACAGCCGGATCCCGGAGCACGGCCACCGCATCCTCACGGCTTCCCAACTGCTCCGCCCAGAGAGGGGCGTTCTCAAAGGGCTGCTTCTTGTCATCCTGTGCCCAAACGAGCATCACTGGCCCAGGGAAGTCCTGGCATGAGCTGGGTGGAGGAGAGGATGGCGCAAACAGAATCGCGGATGCTGCCTTGGAGTTTCTTGCGGCCAAGTCCATGGCATGGTGCGCACCTTTGCCCTTGCCGCACAGGATATAACAGTCTTCCTTGCTGGAGGACACAATGGCATCCAAGACGTCTTGAAAGTCAGCTGCCGTGAGTGATAGACTGGGCTCAGACTCCGAGACTTTCTCGAGCTCTTTCTCTTGCTTCTCTTTGAGAGCTTGGCCCAGATCTGGAAAGGCGACCGAGAGCCCTGCATCCAAGAGCTTCGTGCGCTTCAGGACCTGAGCCCATTCCTCCACGCTGGAGCTGGAGTGTGGTGCTTCCTGGAAGACCACCGCCACGCCGACGCCGATGAACTCATCGGGGCTCAACAACTTCCCCATGGGTTCTACCAGAATGCAGGGTACACGCAGCCCATCCGGAGGCCGGGTCTGAAGCTGCACCTGCCTTCCCCCGAGCTTCAAAGCCGCATCCCCTTGAAAGGAGGCCCGACGCTCCAGGAGATCCACAGGCACCCAATGCCCGTGCGGAGGAAATCTCGGCTCGTCTTCCTTGGCGGCCACTGGCCTCTCCTCGTTTTGTGAAACCCAGGAGACGCTGCGGGTCACGTTGCGGCGATTGCTTGGGGACTGATTGCCTGGATTGCTCAAAGTCCCCACGGAAGCCTCCGAGCCCACGGACTGCAACACGGGCAGCGCCGTCTCCCAAGCCTCCTCTTTGGGACTCCGCTCGCTCGGCCCTTTGAACGAGCCGTCGATGAGCGATTGCACCATCTGGCTCAGTTCGTTGAGCCGCGCAATCCGTGCATTCAGCCTCTCCTCCAGTTCCCGCAAGCTTTCGATCTTTCTCCGGTGCCGCCCCAGCGAGGCCTGGAGTGCCGGCGCCGCCCCTGCCGTGCCTGCCGTGCCCGCGTCTCGCGCTTCCGCGGTTGGCTCCATGGCTGTCATCACCGCATGTCCGAAGTTCAGCCTCACATTACTGCCAAAGCTTCCGTCAGAACCGGAAGAATCCGAGAACTGGAGCCTGCCAGAGCTCTACGGAATCGTCACGTGTCAGCCTAGAATGTTTAAGTATCATGAAGCATCCGTCGCCAAAGAAATGAGTTCCTCACGTCAGTATCTAGAAGCTCCAAAAGTCCTTGTTGCCCGTTTGAACTCAATGTCACCCACAGAGAGTCTATCGATGCGTTGGTGATACTATACATTGAGATTCATCCAAAGACCCTAGGCTCTAGACTGCCTCGCTGCTGTCGTCTGCCAAGACGAAAGCGCTCATCCCCAGGGCAATGGTGACTGCCACAGATTGCGCGGAATTGCGCACGTTCGTTCATCATGGTGCAGGACCGCAGACTATACTATGCTTTTGGCAGACATGAAGGCCTAGCACATTCCACTGCAGCGTGGTCTGGCGCTGACCCCGCAGAAACCACATGATGAGGGCCGTCACCAGCAGCTTGCTTTGAAGCAGGATCTGGTACCTCTCATCACTACATGTTTCACCAGCGACCTCCCAATCCCGTCTGAAGAACCTGAGAACCTGGCGCTGCACCACCCATGACGGACATCGATTGCATCTCCAGGAAGTCACCTGACTGCACAATCGGCACAGCACAACCGGGACAAAGAACCATTCCGGCACCGCTCGAGCTCCCAAGCAAGTAGAGACGAGCGTCCAAAAGCATAGATCACGGCTATGGAGCTGAAGACCTGTCACGTGGGACTAGTGGCGGAGCACAAGCTTTCGCCTGGTCACTGACGGCAGCCTAGCTCGAGTAGGGTGAGGTGCAATCAGAGAAGGAATGCCCAAGCTCTGACACTCTTTTTGGCGATTTCATCTTGAACCTGACGATCCCTGGCGCCCCCTCCCTTCACGCCTTGAGAGGGGTCGGATCCCAGCCTCGCATCATTGAGGCGACACAGAGAAGCAGAGATTCGTTAAAACAGCCAGATTCGGCCCCGTGCACTGCTTCAGGCCCGGCATGCCCCCCAAGAGGAAGGCCAGGGAGTTTCCTGGCTCCGAAGTCTGCATTTTGGGGACAGTAGATATCGGGAGAGCATGTGTACTCTCAGGGTGGTGGCATCAGTGGGTGGCACCGCCTGTTCGCCTTTTTCGCCTTCGTGAGCCCAGCCACTGTCCCAATAGTCTGGCTGCTCGTCCTCGCTGAGGATGTCATCGATCTCCACTGGGCTCACTGGACTCCTTCGGCTGCTGAAGCTTCTCTCGGCGTTTGGCGGACTTTCCGGCGAAAGCTCGCTCCGGCCGTGTGCCGACACAAAAGGACTCGCAGAGACGGAGGCCGCCCCCGAGGGCACCGGCGGAATCCGAGCCGAGAGCCAGCTCCGGGAAGTCTCAGGCCGCCTTAGCTGAAAACACGAGAAGAAAGCTGTGCTGCCGGGAACCGCGGAAAAGGGGAGGGGCCGGAATGACTGGGACGCGTCTAGGACGCTGCTGCATGCTGTTCAGATCGAGGTGCAGGATCTTTGGCGAGCCGAGAAGGGAGCTGGGACTTGAAGCTGGGGCGCGTCGCTCGGGCGTCTGGAGAATGTTTGGCAGATTTCCAGTTCCACCCATCCGACGGTGCCGCTCCTCCGCGATGGCCCGATGTTGCCAGGCCTCTTTCAAGAAGTCGTCCCTGCGCTTCTCTTCTGCTGCGATCTCCTCCTTGAGCTGTGCTTTTCTTGCCAGGCAGCTCTGTTCGTGCTCCCTGAGCCAGCGTACCTGTTGCACGTTCATGCCGGAGTCTCTCAAAGGCTGGGCCTCTGCATCGTCCGACAAAAGTGAGGCCCGGAAGGCCAAGGAGGAATTCAGCGCCGCAGAGAGCCGAAGGTTCTCCTTCCGTGCAGCGTTCACCTGGCCCTCCACGTGCTGCACCCACTCCCGCAGCGGCAGCTCCTGCTCCTCGGCCACCTGACACAGAGAGTGCACTCATCGAAGCTGTTCTGCAACCCGATCTGGTAACAAGCGTTATATCCTGCCTCAACTCTACACCCCCGCCAGCTAGCATCGACACCTGGGCCCTCTACCTGTTGATGTGTCAACGAGCTAGCAGCGAAACTGCAGCATTTGTCCCATTCGCAATGGCGAAAACACCGGAAGGATGGACGAATTCACCCATGTTATAAATGCTTCGCTCAGGGACAGTCACACAGTTCATGAAAGGACCTGCATGGCAGGTTCACGCGTCTTTTGAAGAAGATCGTGACATGGTTATGCTCTGAGGAATGAATTTCCTCGCATAGACTCTAAAGACCCAGATTCAGAAACATCGCGCACAAAAAAAGAAAAACATCGTCCCGCACCTGGCGTTGCCTGGCGAGCTCCTGGCCTTCTTTCTCCGCCAATTCCAAGGCCTCTCGGAGTTCCTCGGCCTCCTTTCGGCCCGCTGCCAAAGCCTGGTCGGCGGAGACCAGGTGCTGCTGCCTTAGGTGGGCCACCGCCAGCTTTCGGCGGGACACCTCCTGCTGCAGGTGCCGATCGACGTGTCGGCGATGCTCGTCCAGACTGTGCTGCCCGTCCGAAGTCGAGGGAGGGATCGGCAACGGCTCCTCGACGTCGTCATGGGCAATGCCCATCTTCTGGTGATGCCCCACTGCAGCTTCAAAGTCCTTCTCGCAGGCGCTGCTGGCGGGCGAGATGGAAGTGAGCCGCATCTCGGAAAGCTCCTCTGTCAACTGACGGTGTTCCGCCTCGGCTTCATCTGCTTCCGAGTCCACCTGCTGTGCCCACTCTTCCGCCGCTGCCAGCTCCGCGGACCAGCACGGGAGCTGCTCGTCGTAGTCCCTTAGCTCTTCCTTCAAGCTCTGCATCTGAAACTCCAACACAGCACACTCCGGCGTGGGCCCCGTGGGCTTTGGAGGCTCTGCCACCATGGCTCCCCCCCCCCGGCTTCCAGGCTTCTAATGACAAGGACACTCCTGTCTTTTGACCGTGTTCGAGTGGTCTGCATGCTACTTGCGGCTTAGCACTTTGAGCCTGTGGCTGGAAGAGCCATTTCTTGAAGACAACATGGGGCGAGGAAGGGCACAGGACGCGGAAGCGAAGCGCGCAGTAAAATTGAATGAGTCAGCAGAACCGATGACAATGTCCACTGCCGAGTTGATGACACACGGAGTAGCCTTCTTGTCCAGGCTTGCACAAGGCCACTACAGGGGTACAAGTTGTCCGGCACTGCCTTGCCATAGGGTAGCTTGCCATCGGTCTTGGAGATGTCTATGATGATCTGAGAGGAATGCACTCGGAACAACACAGGACAAGGAAAAAGATATGCACTCTCGAAAACTATTGCACATGAACCCCCTTTGACTCTGGGGGCGGGTCTGGGTGGAAACTCCTAACAGCGATGAAGACTGCGAAGGCAAAGGCCGTCTGCCCGGCTCCGGGCTTGTCCTTGCACTTCGAAAAGCCTATGTCAACGTCCACAGAGACGCAAGTTCTGGTAAACTGGGTTCCGTGCCAGCTTCGGCACATGTGCAGGGTGCCTCTTGCACTGAAGAGCTCGCTTGCTGGCACGAGTGGCAGGCACTGCTCTAGGCCTTGGCAACAGCGGCTCCTTCAGACTCGAGGCCATATGCTACTTCCACTGGCACCCTCCTCGTGAGCCAAAGCTGCGACAGGTCTCAGTTGGCCCAAGCGGATTGGAGTCTGCTTGCAAGCACAGCTTCTGCAAAGACCTGGCACTCTGGGAGCTTGCAAGAACGAGAGGAGGATCTCCACCTTCGAGCGGGACTCCTTCTTCTTCCAGCCAGGAGGAAGAGGTATCTGTGTCAAGGCTGCTGATCTCTTTGATCCCACAGGCTTCGAGGCTCATCCACCGCCCGCATCCGGCCGCCTCTTCTGCTTTGCGCTTGCGCGTGCGAAGTGCCTCGGACTCCAGCTCCCCGCAGTCGCAGATGACGGCCTGGCTTGCAAGAAAAAGGGCACCCCCCGTGTCATCGAACTCTGCACTTAGCGTCTCTGCAACACAACTCAGCTGCCTCGAAGAGAGGCGTGCCACCCTTTGTGCCCATGGACTCGAGCTGCACGGGGAGGCACTTTAGGGAGCCGGTCGGAGCAGGAAGGAGACACTGCATGGCCTTCGACAGCTTGTCGATGCCCTCAATGACTCGAGCGAAGACCACATGCTTGCCGTCCAGCTTGGGCTCTGCCTGACAGTCTCAGCGAAATTCGAAGACTCCGAAGACTCGAAGAGAACCTTGGAGGTGAAGAAGAACTGTGAGGACTGCTTGCCCTCCTCACCTCGCTTGTGGGCCATCGAGACCTTCGCCCGCAAGACACAAGCCCAAAAGACACACCTATACTAGTAAAGTCTTGTAGAGTGCTTCCTTCTTGCTTTCTGCATTCTTTGCTTTGTTGTGGCTCCCGGGGCCGCCGCCAAGCCAGGGCGGTCGTGCTTCAGCTTGAAGTTCTCACACCCAAACGTTCCGTCGCCATCCTGCGAGGGCTAGCCCTATCCTACTCTCCGGCTGCTCTCCCGAAACCGATCTGTGAAACTTTGAAAATGGGGCAAGGGACAATGGGCCGTCGCGTAAAAAACTGCTTTGGCGCCTTTATTCAATCATGTGGCTGCCTAGTACAACCGGAGGTCCGCCTTTCACTCAATCTATGTAGCTCCTTGTGGCCGCCCTCTACAACCACAAATGGCCTGGTTGAAGATAGAGTCTCCACCCGAGCCGTCCCCCTTCGTGAAGTCTCCACCTGAGCCGGTTTTCGAAGCTTCGCAGAGGAAAGCTCGTGAATTGCTGGCATGGTGCATACGTGCTGAAACATGAAGAACTCAAAAGCAGGGAGGGGCCTTGGATGATCTTGCCTGGGATGATCTTGTGGAACCTGGGCTTGAAATCTCCGGCTTTCCAGCTGCTGTCCACGTTGCAGCACGCGCTCCGAGGCCCTAACCTGCTGCCTTTGTAGCTCAAAGGCTTGCCAGACACGGCGCTGACTCCACGCTCTCCTTGGATGCCGCGATGCAGTTCCGCGGTGGGCGCTTCATCCGAAAATCCCGGGCACCCGGCCTGTGCAAAGGCAGCGGAAGTTCTCGGCGGTCTTTGGAACCACGTCTCCGAAGAGCTCCAGGACGATGCGCCCAAGCTTTCTCTTGTGCAGCTCCACCTTTCGCCGGCTCACAGGGCACCTCAAATTAAAGTAATTAGCCCTTCTCCTTCTGTGAGTTTAAAGGAACGCACCCCGGCCTCGAGGAAGACCTTTGCTCTGTTCTCCTTGATCCTTTGAGGCTGGTTCGCCTTCGGGGCGAGTTGGAAGACCAGACCAAAGCCGGGCTCTGAAGGCTGACAGTCGGAGAGTTTTAGCGCAGTGCGAGGGCTCTGGGCCTCGCCATCGGGCCGAGTGCTTCCTCCGGACCAGCCCTTGCCATCACCTGCCCGCACTTAGACTGGAGCTTGCGACAAAAGGGGGTAACTTAGCGCTCCGGTGGCCCAACCTACGATTCCGAGGCCAGTCCCGGCCGACTGCGTGATGGGACCCGGAGACATGGCGGCCAATGGCACATTCAGGCCCCGGAGTTCAGCTCATGCTCAGGGGTGCGGTGCAACAGGGTTGGGGGGTTGGGATGGGTTGGGAGTCGGGAGTTGGAGTTTCTAGCCCTGCCGCATTGTGACTCATGACGAAGCGAAGGCCAAATCTCCAGGCTCATTACCGCTTCCAGCTCGTTGGGACATGGCGGGGCATCTTATGTGTTCTTGAGCCGCACAAAGTCGCAAGGGGCGGCTTGCGATGATTCGTCCAGCGGCAATGCCGCTCGCTGCCAAAGTTTCGGGGCATCGATCTCAAACTCTACGTCTTTTCGCACCAGCCGCCAGCAGAGGCTACTGAGGAGACCTCTAAACTCAAAGCTCGTCGAGATACCTCGCCCAGTGCGGATACCTCCAGGGACCAGGGCATCCGATGGAACAGTCGAGCCTGGTCCACAGACGGCCTGATGTCCTCCAGGTTCATCTCCTGCGGCCTGGAGATGCGCCAAGCACAAAACTGCCGCCAAGCTACAAAAAAATGTGAAAGGCCTCATCTCCGAGGGCATCTCGCTGAGGTCAGCAGACACCGTGGATTGCTTGAGATGTTTTCCCTTTCCTTTCTCGGCACCTGACAGCGCATTCCACTCGGCCGGGCCAGACCGTCCTTCTGCACTCCCATGGAGTATTGGGGCCCTGGCGGATCATGCGGCCGTCCTTTTCGTGTGACCTCCAGACTGTCATCTTCCCAGCTGGGTTTTTGCCACCTTCCTCTGCTTCCGCTGCTGAATCCTCCTAGCACAGGCCGCACTTCATCGTGAGAAGAGAAACCTAGAGAAGCTGGACAGCCAGAAGCTCTTAGCAGGCTCTGGCCTTGGCTGCGCAGGCCTCGGCCTTGTGCAGGTCCTGCAGATCCGAGCTTCAAAACCGACCCCGGAGCTAGAGCTTGAGGAACTCGGCGAATTATTGGAGCAGCTTCCCAGCAGAGGGCATGAACATGCCCAGAACGTCGGAAAGAATCGAAGTCCTGAATGAAGATTTTCGGCTTCTGATCCTCGGGCCAGGACCACCTGGTGTAGTACCTCCAAGCACCCAACCCGAAACTGAGCAGAAACTCGAGGTTCTACATTCCTCGTGAGCACAAGGGTGCCTCTCAAACAACGGTCCGCCGACCTTGGCTTTCTGGAAAGGCTGTATTGACTATACTGACTATACTGACGATACTGCTCGGGAGTGATCATAATCAACATCACCCGAGCCAGCTTCTCCGCTAGCTAGATCACGAAGGGCTGTCATATTTCTGCTGATCATGACTAGTTGTTACGATGACTATCCTCGCGTCAATCAAGATGAATGTAGTGACGATTAGTAATGACTAGTAGCTGTCGGAAAAGTGGTGATGGTGTTCTTGTGAGCATATCTCACAACTCACAACCACCGGACTGGGGCCGTGACGACAAGCAAAGTACCCTTTTGAGTTTCGCGGTCCAAGGGCACGATCGCAGGCATGCACCTCAGTGCCCAGCAGCTGGCACCCTCCACCGAGTGCACATCCACACGACGAAACCCGGATGGCAGGAGTTTACCAGGCCAGGCACAGTGTCGAGGTGTTTTTCAGAAGCATTGCCAGATCTGAGCTCGCAAGTACTGCCCGCAAGTCTAAGCCTTGCTGCCGTCGCGTCTCCTGCGTGTCATTTTCATAAAGATTATGGCTCCCTGCAGTCATCCTGTTCGGCATGGACTGAATATTTTCTTCTGGTGCCGAAGCAACAGTGTGTAGCTGGCTCCAAGAATCTGTCAATCAGCCAACATTCTGTCGCCACTTTCGGGAAGGTGTACAGACCAGTGACTAGCTTCAAGGCTCACCCAAACCCAGTCCTCCACGAAAGACTCAACCTCGGCCTGAAAGGCCTCTGCCTCTTCCTGCTGCGCCAGCTGAAGTGGAAGTCGCTGGTGGAGATGCCGCGCAGCTCCCGGAGCATCCTCCAAAAAAGACATCATTGCAAGGAAGATTCAGACTCTGCCTGGGTTTCCTGACCCTGGTAAAGGCTTCGGCCTCCGGCAAGGCTGACGTCGCATCCATGTCTTCGGCATCGACGTGGTGGACCTTCACCTTCGCCTTCTCCTTAGAGGCCTTCTCCGGCTTCGGCTGTTCACGTGTGGCCTCCGTGGATGACCCGGAGTCGGAACTGTCGGAACTGGTATCCCCCGAAGAGTTCTTCTCGCTGTCCCTCTTCGGAAGCCACGGGAGCTTCACCTTCATGATGTACGCGGCTGGGGGCAAGGAAATCTCAATTCCATCGCCTAGCCTGCAGCGGGAGTACGCCGAAAAAGCTCACAGGTCAAAGGTCCGGCAAACGTCCAGGGCACAGGCGCGAAATGCAGATTGGGGAGCTGGTCCATGTTGGAGCAATCCGAGGACACGTCCAGAGTCTTCGTGAGCATCCTGGCAGGGGGCCAGCAGGAAGCCGCCTTCGCCGCTTGCGCCCATGCGCCGCGCCTCACCGCCTCGGAGGGCATGGCCAAGATGTTGGATCCTGTGTCGATCACCGCCACGCACGGAGAGCCCTCTTTGCAGAGGTGGAATTTGTGGTGCGCCTAAGCTTATCGGCATTTAAAGCACAGGGCTAGTCGGCGAGTCAGCCGAGATGCGTGTGAAGGCTTGCTGGAAAGGGTATCCTCGGAAAGCATAACCTTCCAGCTGCACCTACTGCAACCCCGTGGTCCATGCGTTTCCAAGCGACCACATCAGCATCGTCGCTGAGAAGCGAGGCAGCCTTGTGCCTTTCAACAAGCTGGAGCAGAAAGCGAATCCCTGAGCATCGAGACCCGGCCTCCTGTGCCGGACACGCATGTTGCTAAGCTTCACAGCCCAGTGCATCTGCCCTTCAACGCTCATGGCTGTGCCCTCGCTGGACCTTGAGGTCAGAAAGGATCACTCAACAAGATGCAGGCATTACCCGAGTCTTCAGCATCACCACATCATTGTACGCCTTTCAGAAAAAGCTCTGCTCCGCTGTCCGCGTCTCATGCTGCCTCTTTGTTTTGCTTGCTCGTTGTTTCGGAGGGCTAACTCTCGCTCCTCCCTCCCTCTCTCTCCCTCTCCCTCCTCCCTCTCTCCCTCTCTCCCTTCTTCTGCTTCTCCGGGGTACGGGGAGCTTGTCGGGCTCCCCGCGCGGCATGGCGCGCCCCTGTTTAGGGGCCCTGTGGGGGCGCGGAAAAGGCATGGATGCTCGGTGTTTTGCTGCTGTCCCCCTCTCTCCCTCTCTCCCTCCCTCCTCTCGCTGTTTCTTTCTTTTCCCAGGGCTAGTGTGAGAGGGTAGGCGTGCGCGTTAGCGCCCCCGACTGTTGTGGGACGAAGAGTGACACGTGTTCTCTCCACATCGGGGATCACGGCGGAGCAAACACAAACAGAAGGCAAACAACAAGCCAGCAAAAAGGAGAAAGCCGAGATTATGAACACCGAGGCAAAACATGTCCCAGTCAGGGGCGATTCCCCGTTGGCAGAGAGCCGAGGCTAATTAATTGCCACGAGCTCCGACTGTTGTAACAAATCAAACAATGAGTACAATCACAGATAAAATGGTTATTGCGTTGGGCTTGTCCGATAGTTTTACTGGAGGTAAGGCTTTGGTTCCCCCAATTAAAGTTGGCTGTGGCATTCTCTTTTCTGTCTCGTCAGGTGAAGTACCCGCCTGGCAAGAAAACACACCGAGAAAGCGCTTTGCTTTGCTTAGGGCTTGAGGCGGGGGCAGGCCCCCCGTCCCGAGAAAGCGCTCTCTCTCTCTCTCCCTCTGTCCCTCTCTCCCTCTCCCCGCTCTCTCCTTCTCTCTCTCTCCCTGCCTCTCCCTGTCTTTCTTTCGCCAGGGCTAGGGACAAGAGGGGCAAGCCCCCTCGCCCGCGTGCATTAGCGCCCCCGACTGTTGCGGAGCGACTTCTTGAAACGGCAAACACCACAGCTGTTCGTTCTGCACACAAACCCTAGGGGAAAATAGCCCAACCGAGAGCGATTCAATGTACGTCTACGCAGCAACATATCTGGCAGGGGACTTCCCCGCGATCCAATGGAGCAGGGCCAATGAGTTACAGGCTTCGTATGCATGCCACGTCGCGGGGCCAATACCCCGGGACAGAACAATACAAGCACATGCGTAAGGTACTAATGTCAAGAGCGAGGGCGACATGGTAGCAGCATACTCGGCATCTACATTGGACTTCCGTTCAAGCCCTATGCTCTCTTGCTTGCTTGCTCTCTCTTTCTCTCTCTGTCTTTCTCTCCCTCTCCCTCCCACTCCCGGTCTCTTCTTCCACACAGCCGATGCGCGCACTTGTTGTTCAGTCGAAGTGAGAAAGCTGTGGTCGATGATGGCCGAGTCCCCCGGTCTCTCTCTCTCTCTCTCTCTCGCTATCCCTATCTCTATCTCTACCTCTATCTTTCTTTCTGCTGGGCGTAGGCCCGCCGAACCACCCAATGTGTTCTTGAGCGGTTGGCATTGGGGTCTCTCTGACCGCTGTACTAGGGAACCCAGCATGCTCTGATTTTCAAGTTGTGAGCCCCCAACCCTTTACACTGCGTCCCGGCCTCATCACCGGGCCCCTGTGGCTATAGCCGCAGGTTGGCGGGTTCACATCTCATCGGAAGAGCTCCCATGCATTTTGGGCATGACTGTCAACTACCTCTATCTCTCTCTCTCTCTTCTTCTTCTTCTTCTTCTCCGG